TAGTGTGTTCAGCACTTTATTAGAAAATAATTTGTGAAGAGGAACGATAAGGAACTGAGCAATGGAATTCAATTTTAAAACCCGTTAATTACAAATAATAAATCAGAAGCATTTTTGCAGTAAACATATTACGAAAACCAACAAAGTCATTTTTTTGAACTTCCCCAACAAAGTAAAAAACAGAGTTCAAAAAAGTAACAAAACATTTAAACACTAAAAACTAACGATCTTTTGTACGTACAAATAGGTCTTTAAAAAAAGCAAAAAAAAAAAGCGAAAGCGAAGTGATAGAAAACTCACTTGCTTTTTTCATGCAGGTCACGAGCTGCATAAACAAATAAAATAGTAGCATTTCCAGACTGTAGGAATTTAAGTTGAAAACTGGCAGGGAAAGAATTTACATAAGGATGTAGAAGAAGATTTAGTTAAAATTCTGAACTCTAAAATCTTCAAAAATTCAAAAGCCCAAAAAGTTTGAAGCTCCAATATTATTTCCTCGACCAAATTTACTACAATTCACTAGTAAACATTAAACATACAGCAAAAAATTGTTACAACAATCTGGTTGGTTTATAAAATACTACTGCCAAATACAACTCTCCCCGGAAAAGCGTTACGACTCTCCCACATTAATCCTTCTAATTAAATAATGTTAGTTTCATTTCTGCAGTTTAATAGTTCGCAGTCAAGCTCTTCAACTTTTTTTCAATCTACTGTCACCTTTTGGAAAAAAATGTTGCCATTGTCCTTCCGGTAGCCTTTACTGCTCCCATTGGGAATCACTGTTTTGAAGCAAATGTGAGGAAAGCTCCAGATATTGGGACTCCAACATTAAAAATAACTTCAGCAACTGCTAGCTCAACTTTCAAAATTTGAAAATTTCCCTCTTAAAAAAAGGAAAGTAAGGATTAAATCATAAGCTGACTAAACTTCACCATAATCTAGTCAACTCACTAAAGCCAACGCTATTCTTCAAACTAACAGTGAAGTTTACGAAGCTTGTTTTAGACTGATGAATCCCATCAATGTTTCGTCTGTTTAATAAACACGTTAATACACGAATAACAATGTGAAGAATGACCAGAGTTAAAAAGAGTTACTCTCCCCTAGTTCTAGGTAAAATTTATTCTCTTGCAGGGTACGAACAACAAATTATTCAGTGAAGTTACCAAACCTTCCGATTAGCCGTTTTGTAACGCCCAAATCCCTGAGAAAACAAAAAACTGAGTACCTACAATGCAGTATAATTAGTTTAATAAATGGTCGATGAAAATCTAATACTTAAAGCCCCTGCCAGCGTGATTACAAAGAATACACAAAAAGACACAAATAGTTCCATCAGTGACAAACGAAAAAGAGATTTCAGCAATTCTTCATAACATTAGACAATAGCCAATTATGCAATCCATTTTTTTAAAATGATTACATGACTTTTGGTATAAAAAAGTAGAATAGTAAGAATACAAAAAATACTACAAAAACGTGAAACAAAAAAAAATGTCTTTGGAATCAAGCCTCGACTTATGAAAATTTTATTTGCTCCACGCATCTTAATTTTTTTGGTAAATGTCTCAGGTGTAGACTTGTTTACTTTGGAAGCAAGCTTTTGAACAATCGACTACCTTCTGTACTGTCATGAGAACGAAAAAATTGTAAAAACAAGTACAAGCAAAAAAGCAACGTCTCTAAAACAATATTTCGTCCTTGTGCTGAGTATGTTGAGATATAATCGTTTTTTTAACTTCCAGAATGTTATCCAATACATTTTTTGAGAATACTTACAATGATGGTCAACTTACGTACATACATCGCATTTCACAATAAGCAATGAAGTCTCTCGATAGAAGTTTCCCATTCTTCGCCATTATCCACGAGTCTGTGATCCTGACCAATCGAAAATCAATGTCTGACGAAGTTCCACTTGCGTTTATATTTTTTAACCCGTCAACCTAAATAGGTTAAAAGCGATAACACAAAAGTAAGGTACCTTGGCTGCCTAAAATGTTTAGAAATGTGAAATATAAACCAAAAATACAACATCTCAAGTAAAACAAAGGTTTCAGGGGCTGAAAATGAAAGGTAGAATATCTCATCTTCTACGGCAAAGCCGCTGGTGTTTATTATTTTGAAATCTTATCAATTCTTTTTACATATTGAAGGAATGCCAACCTTTACATCTATAACATAGGGCTCAGGGACAGCAAATGAATCGCCGATTATAAATCCAAATTTTGACGAACAATTGTAAACCGAAAAAGCAATACAGCTTCCAGTTTTGTCACAACCCACGAATGTACTAGAAAAAACAACGCGATTGCCAATTCTCTACAGTAAGTAAAAGATTTAAAAATCAAACAAAAAGGGAAGCGTTAGAGTTTACCGAAGGAAAATGGAGTGAAAAAGTTACGTACTACGGAACCGTTTCTGAGTTCGGAACGATACCGATCACTTTACCGCAGGTAATAAGATCACCATTGCTACCTTCTTTCAGGTCCAAAAAATTAACCTCTCGAAGACGTTTAATGTTCTCGGACCCACTCGTTTCTTTCCTCTCAATACCATATAAACCAAGATCGCTCTTGTTGATAGATTTTTGGAAACGCAGCAAGCGTTTCGGTTTTAGTTTACCTAAAATGAACTACACCTTACTCCACTTTAGAAAACGTACTTCTTAGCAGCTAGTATATATTCTCAAAATTCACAGTGAAAAGCTTAATAAGACCTGATAAAATCCTTAAAAATAAGATGTTCTTCAACCAGATAATTGTATTCCACAAAGAGATTAAAGTGTCATGTAAGTGACTAGACGAAAAAACCAACAATGAGCAATGACCTAAGCAAACAAAAAATTGGTCGTGTATAACCATAAGTTTCTTGAAAATACCTTTGCGTTTAACGGCTTCATTTAGTTGCAAAAGGAAGGAACTCAAAGACTGCAGGGTCTCCTTTGTTTCTCCACAAGATGGGTCATAAGTACACGCATCTTTCAAATGTTTGATACATGATGCATAATCCTGAGTGAATTTTAAAGCTGTTGCATAATTTGCGTGCAGATCAGGATTCAGATATTCGTTTCCCTTACTGAGCGCCATTTCATATGCATCCTTTGCTTCTTGCTGTAAAAAGAAAGATATATTCTAAAAAAAAAAAAACAAATTTTTTGACAGCTAATCAAATCTAAGACGTTCGACGCTTTCTACCCATAGTTCCGAAGCAGAAAAGAACTATAAAAATCAAAATAACGTTCGAAAACGATCGCATAGATAGTCTACATACTACCTTATTTCAGATGTCTGCATGAGACACTACGGCTATATTTTCTCCATCTATGATTAAAATCGTATTTAATCACAAGATAAAAAACCTTATACTAAAAAATTTTCAATTTTCGGTCTCAAAATTTCATGACAAAACATATTTTTCAAAAGCTCTTACTCTGACTAATGCTGGTATCATCTGCATTTCAAATCCTTCTCACCCAGCTTGAATCTTAAAATAAATTTGTCATTTTACTGTAATGTTATCTTGCCCTTCTCCTTCAAAAAATACAGCTCATTAACCTACAAATTATAAGATATGATATTTCAAATTCTTACCATTAAATTAAAATTCTTTTGACAATTTGTAAAAAACTGTAAAAGTTTTGCGTTTCCAAGAGCGTGCCAGGCATGACCGTCATCTCTGTCAAGAACTACAGCCTCCTCACACAACTTTGAAGATTCGGCAAAGAGATGCTCTTGTTTTTCTTTACTTCCTTTATCATTGCTCCTTATTTGCTGCGCCTGCTGTCTCAACGACATAGATAACGCGCACAAACATTTGGCCGTCCGCTTTCGTTCCAGCGACGTCTGAATCGGGTAAATAGTCATTTAGAACAAGTGCAAATTAGAAAGACTAACTCAAACGATAAATTTTTTCATAAAAGGAATAAGAATAAAATTTAATTTTGCGACTTAAACTAAATACCGTCAGCAATCATTTTAGGCCTTTTGCTTTAAACCAATATTTCTTAATTTTATTTCTTTTGAATACCTTGAAGCAATCAGTTGCTGATTCATAATCCTTTTTTTTCCAAAGACATTCTCCTAGTTCATACCAGGCTTCACCCAATGAAGGCTCCATTTTAATAGCATGTGTGAGATGTTTCTCACATTTCGGGTCATATTCGTGAGCTACATTTAAAATTCTACCACATACCAAGTTGTACCTTGCAGTAGACGAAGATGAACCCTGTGTTTCCAAGGGAATATCCTTAAAAGAAAATGTGAAAAAGAAAGAATACTGTCGACAAAAGTGAAAAACCATTCTACACTTTAATGACTTCGCAAATTTTATCATGTCAAAACTTTTAACCGTCATACCTGAAGCAGTGGCAATATTTTTTCTCTCACAGCTTTTTGTTTCTCAACTGAATCGACCGAACCAGGGTGATGCAAAAAATACTTATCACGAAATTCTTCTGCTTCTTGAATTTTCTGCTCAAGACTTTCCATCGAAATAAGCCCTGGAAGACTGGAATATGTATAAACTAACTATCATTTCTTGCTGAGAAAAGGGGACTTTATGCAAGTGAAACGTGAAACAGTTCATTGGAAAAATCCTCACAATTTCAGATCGAATGTCACATAAAATTTAGTTTTAAAAGCCCTCTTTGGTGGTTCCAACAAAACAGAGAATATATTTTAGATATGTCAAACTGATTTATCATGTTAGTGTCTTGCATTAGGCAGGTCTTTTCGGTACGACTACGTATAAACGATAAACTTTCCACAGCAATCTTTCAGCTGACGAGTGAGTGAATTTACGTGACGTGCATCATGACAGTCAAATGATTAGCCGTTTGTTGTTGTTTCGCCATTATGTTATTTTTCATAAATACTGGTAATTTCTTAAACAGTAATCTAACATATGAAAACAGTAGTAGCCTTTGCCTCGCAATTTATTATAGTATAGCCAATGGAAAATAAGGTACATACAAAACTAGTTATAAGTCCTTGGAAAAACTCAACTCGTTAAAGAGTATTAAAGGTTTAAAGTTCACTAAATTCTTCCCCTCTTTTTTTAATTAACAATTTCTTTTGAGAAATTATACGAACTCATTAGAACCAAATTCTAAAATTCTTGTAGTTATTTCCTAGACTTATAATAAATTCCAAATCTAACCAAAAAACACTGCAGCTTAATAGTCTTTTCAACTTTGAAAAGGTTAAAATCACTTGATTAAGACTTGCTCTGATGTTAGCAGTTGACTTCAAATTCTCAAATGTTTGCTACTCTGATCAAGATAAAGCCAAAACGTCGAAGATAACGAATTACTATGTTATTCGCTAATACAGAAAGACGTTCAGAATCAAAAAAAAAAAAAAAAAAAAAAAA